TTCTCGTACTTTCTTTTCCTTGTCTTTTCAATGTTTCTCGTTTCTATCCATACTCGGAGTTGGAGCGCCCCACCTCTCCTCGAAATTTTGAGGACTTAAGTCACTATCAACCAAATCCGAGAATCTAAAGTAAACTTGACAGACCCGGGACCGTTGGTTTTAGCCTCGAGCCTCTAACCTAGTTCAAGACTTCCTTAGTTATTCCATTTGGCATATATTATCTACTTGTTGTTTTTATCGTCTCCATTTCCCAGTGAGACTATGGCAAACGAATGTTTTAGTTACTAGATCGTCTGATACACATATTTGTGATTTGTGATGAACTGACGTTAACCGCCAAAAGTCAGAACAATTCTGGTCAGTTTTTCCTCTGTTCTATCTAAAATTAAGATACCAAACAAGACGTCATCAAAGTAAACCTTAATCCAACCCTTTGTTTTGGATATCATAACACGAAAATAACAGTGGTAAAATGCATTTCTTTAATTCACGTGATTGGGGTTTGACAGGATAAGTGACAATGAAGTACGTAAGGGAACAGTTGAAGTGATAATAAAGTGGGTCAGAGTTCGTATGAATGTTGCCTCTGCTGTCAGCCGTCCGCAAATCGGGCTCGTTTATCCACGGGTGCTGTTTTTTCAAAAACAAAGAATAAATATGAAAATTTTAATTCGTCTCAGTTAAGAGAACAACGGAAAAGAGCTTGTTTAGGTCCTCTAATCACACGAGACAACAAACATATAGGTTAGCATTCACAGTGCTTACAAGAAAGTAAAAATAATAATGATAACATTAGTATTAACACGCTTTTTACTTCTTTTCTTGACTAGTGAGTATAAAGAAGAGCAATTAACTTTCTGGGACAAGCTCCAAACCTTCCAAGGAGGTTCAGGAGAGAAAATGACCTCAGTGTATTGGAAAAGAATAACGACAACAGCCGTGGCAGCAGCAACAGCAACAAAGCCAATAGTAGTAACAAAATCCGTGCATAGCAAATATGTGATAAGTAAAAATAAGTGAATGTCAGTCCAGATTGAGGTAAACACAAGGATAACGGTTTGGTCAGAACAGATAAAGTGAACTAACCCACTCCATCGTAAGCAAATGTGTGGAAATTGATAAAGCATTTCACATTGAATAGTGGGACTACACAGCCAGCTGTATTAGTTGTGCCTTGTCATGCACATTTTTCCGTTAACCCAAGGTCAGAAGTATGGATAATGTCACTCGTGTTGTATTCAACCTATGCAGCGGAATGCATCCAAAGAAGCACTGAGATTGCTTGCGTCCGGAACAAAACACAGTCTACTTACTAAATGCCGGAAGGTAATCATTTTATCACGGTTAAAAAGAGATGGGATTTCTATAAATCTACAAGACTTCACGTGCTTTAGTAGATAGCCAAGTAATGAAAGTTGTTGCACTGTTATTTCTGTGACAAGTCATAGAGTGAGGGATATTTTGTTCTGTAATTAAAGGTCAGTTTTACGAGCCTGAATGATTGAATAATATACCATATTTACATATTTATATCACAGAAAAGTATAAAAAAGTCCATACAACTAGTTCAATAGAAGCAGCAAACCATATCCGCTTGGCTTGTGATAGCTCAAGTGCGGATCAATAGGTAACGACTGGACGACCGGAGTTGGATACTATGATATCAATAATAACAATATTTTAATGTATTCAACGTACAGTTCCAAATTCAAGTTCAGAATTGGACAACAGTGGATCTACGGATGCCAGGAGAAACATGCCCATGAGAATGGTCGTGACAGGATCCGAACTCACAAGCCCCGATTTACGTAATGAGGAGCTTAATCGTTTGTTTATCTCAGCTGTCATTCTCACATGAAAAGCTCTCATCTGTCCCTGTGACCATTTTAAGATAGTGATTCAGCTAAACTGAGTGACCAATATTGAGCCATTGCATTGAATAAGTAGCAGAAAAATGTATAATTGACAAGTTTTTCATCATGGTGGGGGCAGCTTTAGTTCAGTGGAAGATAAGGGGATACTTTGTTAGTCGAATCCCCAGGCCCACTATCACTGAACTTGCAAACAAGCGCAGGAATCCGAACACGATCTCAACCTGACGGACTCAGAATCACCTCCACCAATAGTGGTTAATCAAGTAGGACTTTAGGATAAAATGAGCTCGAAGCAGAACCATCTGTTCTAAAGATCAAGTTATTCAATAATCGCACTCTGCTGGGCACTCTGATTACTTCACGAATTGGTGGGCAGACAGTCACTGATACAGCATGAAAACCTGTTTCGGTTGTAATCTATGTTTTGCTGTTTTAAAAATTGTTTTTCCACTTTGAACTTGGAAATTCGAGATCCCATTGTCACCATCGCACTAAAATAAAGAGATAAGTTCGAAAAAACGTTCTGAAAACAGTTTATTGTGCTTGCTCAGTGGATACCTCTCGCACCTTTCGGAAGGTGGTGGTCCGGTGGTTACGTCACCAAATTATCACCCAACGGGGATGTGTGTTCGAATCCCACCATCACCGTCTGACTTCCCCAGTATGTGTGTTTTATGACAGCCATTTGATTGGCCGCTTCCCCCTTCCTGAAAATTGTATCTTTGCATATTCAATAAAAGGAAGTAAAATGAAAAGATGACGATTGTCGTTTTGCAGAAGTGACAATCATATCGCGCGCAAGGAGTATCGTATGACTACTTTGTGCGGTAGCACATTCGTGAATCAGGTGCACCATTCCGCGTGTGGAGATTCGTTAATGGTATTTATAGGAAGGTTACTATTCGGAGAGCCTTGGTGAAGAACTAAAGATGCATATTGTAATGGCTAACCAACACCAAGTCATGGAAGTGAGTATTGACAATCATAGACTGGTTATCAGAAGGTTGTGTCTGGTTCAGTTACAATGCAAAGGGATGATACCACCAATTAAAAATCGGCGGACAGACTTGCCTCACAGAAATTCTGACCGCTGTCCGTTGGTATCAGAGCTACAGCAATTTACTCGTTCGAAATGATTCACAAAAGGATTTGCCACAGGCTCGACAGTTGTTATTTTATCTTGAATCTACTGTTTACGATTTCAGTAGTTAAAGTGAAAAAAGTGAAAAAGCTTGTCTAGTCAACAGAACAATCGGCGATCAATAACTGCGTTGGTTGGTCACAAGCAAATAGTAAGAAGCGTGCGATTATACGTACATTTGAGGATTTCAATCGATCATGAACCATGGATTGAAATCCATGAACGTAAATATGATGCTCATTTGCTCGCCCACATCGGCAATTAGATTGCAAATGTTTCATCCACAATCTAGCCGAATTTATCAATACACTAATTACTGTGTTCAGAATATATATATATATATATATATATTCTAAATTCAGTGATTTAGTAATATATACTGTGGAAATCGAAGAATCCGATCGTCCACCCAATGATCAAATGTACAGCATGCTTGTGGTTTATCTGTGCTTTCCAGCTGTGGATTCTCAGTGGGTTGATAGACCCTCACGGTTGATGAGAGCCAACCAAATTGAAGCAACTTCCAAACCTTTCAGCTGACCTTTCCTTTGCCTTGAGCAGAACGAAAATAACTATTTAGAATTACATTGCTTACAATGGGGAAATTCTTCGTGTATGTAGGAAATGAAGCATGAACTGAAAAGCTAGGAAGCACTGGACAGCTGTTTCGACCTGGTTGGGTCGCACCAGCAGTGCGAACCCATCGACACAACTGGGAATCGAACCCGGAACCTCGCAGGTAGAACACAAGCATGCTGTCCGCGCGGCCACCAGGCAGCTTATCAGACCGTTTTTCATTTTTCATTTACAAATAATTAATCATCATAATTCAATCAGTGGTTCCGTTTCCATTTTTTTCAAGGTCTCTTCAGGTTCCAACTAACCTATGTTTATCCTAACCTGAAATTGCCTACTCTTATTCATGATCGACGGCCCAAGAACATAAGATCATCGATGGACTCATCATAGAAATTTTCTGGGCTAGCAAATGGTGGTGGTCGGTGGTTTCATAAGTGGTGCTTATCAACGATCAACATTGCGGAGGTGAGAATCTCTTCATCACTATCATCACCATGACTTCCATAAATAAAATACATCTAATCGTTTCTGCTGTTCATCATATTTCAGATATGTGATAAGACGTCATTTACTCTGCTTCCTTGTACCTCTAACCCAATACCCACCACACACAGATGATGTTTACGGACTTAAAATTGCAATCAACCGCATACAAATTCGAACCAGTGTGGTGCATACCTTTGCCATTGGAATCTTCCCCGGTCAGATGGGCTGGATTTGCAATCACTTGATGCGCCAGGGCGAGGAGAACAACGGTGCGCATGAGCAGATTGCCGAATCGAGTCCAGTTGATTGTCAACATCTTGATTCAATCCTGAGTCGTTAGATTGCACTTCACCGTACAAGTAGACGCGCGCGCTCACACACACTTCACGTACGGTAGATTAGTATTGGGCAGTGGCAACCAACTGCACCGGTCTTTTATGCATGTTCCAGACCAGTTGGGTTCACGTGCATGGAGTAAATTGATCGATGGATTCTGATTACTCATCAGTATCATCTTTCATCGTCTTCATCGTCATCATCATTTGTATTGACAATCGGCTTGTATGAAATGTAAGTGAGGTTTCCAAGCCGAGACACATCCACCGTAGAACCAACTCTCCTCATCCATACACCACCTTAGCAAGCCAAAAAGTGACTGTACTTAGGTGAGCACACCCAACTGCAACTGCAAATAGAGTACGATCGATCGGATTGGAGTCCGCCTGGAGAGGAGGGACATGGAGGGAATGGTGCATTTCACAGAATACGTGTCCATGGTGAGTGTACACAGATACAAGTAAACAGGCATGTATGCACATGAATGCACAAACAAATATCTTTGATCTGATGCCATAGTACCAGATCTGGCGGACGATTCATGTGCTCGGTTACCCAGTTTGGTTGGCCATACATTCGGGTAACCAGCATCACAGAGTATATTGTGTGTGTATATGGTGTTGATGTACACACGCACGGGTGTTGTGTGCCACAGAAACTGCACTATCCGATTTGGTCAAATAACAACTATATACTTCGCGACGAAAGTACTGCACACACACCCCTCTCCCTAGATTTTTGGATTATCTACACTCCCAAATGCACGATCATCACCATTTTGGAGAATCTAGACAGCAACCAAATGAAGAACCGAAATGGGAGACTTCATTAAATTATCTTGAATTTGAACAAAAAATCTGTCAAAAAAACGGAATTTTCACCGCGACGAAATTATTGCACCGCCATGGACTTCACCCACTGAAGCGAATTTATTTATTCGTATAAGATTTAGAATCACGTCCGGTGTCGACAATATTCTGTTCTTTAATCAACATTATTTCTAATCCATGCTTTGCGATGTAATCTGTGATGCACCTGATGCATAATTCAGGGAGGAATGACCCAAATGTTTTCTGCTGGGTTCAACTGCGGGCTACACGCAGTTCACAACATTATTTTGATGCTATGAAATGATAACTATCATTTTGTTAGATATGAGTAATGAACTATGGCAATATTGTGCTGGAAAACGATTTATAGATGATCATTCGATTACGTTGCTAGTACAGGTGCCGCTCCACTATACGGATAGTTGAATCAGAATCTTGCGCCTCACGGATTAAAGCGGGCTCGATTGGGCCGTTACCTGATAAGACACCCCATACCCTCACAGAGTTTCGATCGTTAATCAGATTACTTAAGTATCACTTTTTCCACAGATAATACCAGTAGCGCTTTTACGGGTCAACGGCATTAAAATGAAATTTCTTTTCGTCGCCAAAGTAGACAAAATTCTATCCGTTTTTCTAAGTTGCGTAATTCTCATTTTTAAATGCGGTGGAAATGTTTGCGATAACTGACAAAGAGCACTGGGCACCATCTAAATTGACTGAGCCATTCGCACAAGATGATAACTGTCGACCATGTAGCTCAGGGTTAAGGGTGTGATATTCCGGCCCAAATGTTCGCGGTTCGAGCCCAAAAAGTACGCACTACTGACGAGTCCCAAACAGGACGAAACAGCTGTCCAGTGTTCTTTGTCGGTTATCACAAACATTTCCAGTGCATATAAAAATGCATTCAAAGATTGGAGAATTAACGATCTCCCAAGAAGTGAAACCCATACCGAACTACATCAACAGTGCCCAGTGCTTGTGAAAAACCGAATGGGCTAATCCAAGCATTTACCATCTACGTAATTCTCAGTTCGCACAAAAGTCTTTCTGTTTGTAAAGTTGTGAGAGTTTTATCTGGTGTCCAATCCGTTTATGAATAGATTTAGCTATTTCCATTTCAAAGGTTGCATCACAGTTTGATCGGGACCTATTACACGGTCTAGCTTTTTTATTCGTGCTGACATTGATCTCATGAATGGCATCACTTCTGGAGTTCTCAATATCGGTAAGCCTCTTATATCGCCCCCTGGTTGGCAGTTACTTGAACAGCAGATCTTCAGGTTGGTAGTAGAAAACCTTGCCACTGAGCCACCCGATAGTTCCGTTATCATCTAGAGCGGATGACTATGGTAGTTTACCATGTTAGACTTGGATGAGTTCATTCATATTTCCTCGCAAGCATCAGGCGCTGTGTAGGGTCTTAATACGGCTTTNTTTTTGCTGACATAATAATTCCATCACACACAAATGCTTATCACGAGTGCCCGGCAGGAGTGATTGAACTCCGACGGAGTAAAACCCAAAATGATACTGCGTTAATATCATGCAGGTACATAATACACCTGCGACATCCCATTGTTGGGGCTGTTGGAGGTTCTTTATGTTTACATAGAATGCTTTTCCAGGTGCAGAGATAATGCAACCTTATCACATTTCAACAAAATGACTATGTGGATGGAAAGTGTCGTATTTTGTATGAGAGGTAATCCGTATATGGCCAATCACATTAGCAGCCATCAAATTTTCAAAAGTGCCACTTAAAATGCTGTTTCTCATCAAACAAAATCTATTCATAAATTGTCTTTACTCGTTCAGAGTGATGGAGATTGTGGCATCAGACGATGTACAAGAACTGCTTTATATCTGTGACAGAATTCCATTGTAGACCGGGCCATCGATTAATAAATCATGCAATTTATCAGCGTGTTCGAAAGAATACATTGTCGCGGATCTGGACAGGGGTGAGTGAGATTGATTGAGATGCTGATGGCAAAAGTTGAAATCTGTTTAAATTTAATTTCAAATGAAATCAAAGCGCAAGTGAGTTACGCAACTTTTGTTTTTGTATTTGTATTGCAGTTTTAGCAAATAATATAAAAGCTTACACTTGAAAAGAAATCAATACTACAGAAATGGGGAAAAACGGATAAAAGATGTGTGATATCGAGTATACTGCAATGTGAATCAACTACTTAGTGTATTTGGAAGCTTAGAATGAACCATCTACTTGTCAGTCAGTGTCCGGGCAAGATGGGGTACCAAAGAGTTTCTGTAGGCAGATATGCGCGAAGGGATAAATATGCATTTGGAGTGGGTGGAGAGAGAGGATTTACAGACACACAGATATATATGTGTAAAGGATGGGTGCTATCAGATAGAATTTTGTCAGCAAGCTTCATCCATGGTTCAACATGATCATCACAGACGTTGTTTATCAGAACAATGGACGGAATTTATCCTAAATGTACAATGAAGTCACAGTGGACGAATCACGGTTTCCTTCAGAGCACCGTAATACAAGACACAAGGTTTGGAGACAATAAAAGACGGTGAGTATTGTTGAAATACGATGCACACGCACTAGGTTGCAAGAGGATGGAGGATCCGGACAACTATGAGGTTCGTTGTGTATGGACTGAAAAAAGTGATCCTATCTTCTTCTTGTACGGTGTTGTATCCCGTGGAAGCAAATAAGAATCTTTGAGTAATTAGTGGTATTTATTTTCCCGTAAGAATATCTAACACAGGAAGTAGTAACGAGGCGTTTGTAGACCAGGTGACCCAGAGTGAATGTTTCATTTTTGGTTGGCCACCTGGGAAGACAGGTGGACTGCCAGTTTACAACTGAATAGTTGATTCTTTGTCAATCCAGAGGTCTGGTAAATTTCAGTTGCCTCTTATGCTCAGTGGACCGATGTTGACGGGGGAAACAGAGAACGGGAGAGAGAGAGAGAAATCACCAGAGGTCATACGGACCATGCTTGAAATCGAGCGGAACATCAGGACATACGAGAGGGTGGTGAATTGGGATGCGGATAAATAATCGGATAGGGCTGAATGAAAACCCCAATCCCAATGACATTGTAACTCTCATCAGCACCTTCCCTCGTGTGAACAATCATAGGCCTAGACTCATCCGGTATAAGCATCATTTGGTCACGAGTGCAATGAACCGCCAAAACATACGGATGGGTGAACACACCTGACGAAGCAGGTCAACAAGATCCGTACCGCTTTCAGACTGACCCCGGGGCCGAAATACGCTTACACCGACCAATTTAGGGCTCAGTATTTATTTGGTGAGCTGCAAAAGAACGGAAAATTTAAA